AAGGCTAGCCTGGTCTACATAGTGAGTTCCAGACCAGCCAGGGCTACATAGTAAAACTCTGTCTAATAAATAAATAAATAAATAAAAAGTTGTTGGGTGTGATGGCTCATGCCTTTAATTCTAGCACTCAGGAGGCAGAGCCAGGCGGATCTCTGTGAGTTCCAGGCCAGCCAGGGCTAACCCTGTCTCAAAAAATAAAAACCAAAACAAAGCAAAATTATACTTTTGACTTCTTGAGATGATTCTTTGCTTTGGAAAACTGTTGAAGAATCAAAGAAATAGTGGTTTTGACCAAAGAAATAGTTGTGATATATTTGAAGGAAAGTTATCTTTAATTTTTTATTTGTATGACAGTTCAGGTACACATGTGCCAACATCCATGTGTGGAGGTTTAAAGCTTTTAGGAGTCAGTTCTCTTTTTCCACCCTGGGTTCTGGGAATTGAACTCAGGTCATCAAGGCTTGCATAGCAAGCACTTTTATCCACTAAGCCATACTGGGGGACCAGAATCATTTTTTGTGTATGAAACATGAGAGGAATCAAATAAAATTTCTGAAGTAATATTTTATATGTGGAAACTGTTATGTATAACTAGGTTAGGTTTTTTTTTTTTCTTTTATGGTGCTGAGACTGGAATCCAGGGCCTCATGCATGCTAGTCAGATATACTACTACTGAGCTACAATTTCATCTGCAAACCTTTTGTCTTGTGTTTTTAACAGCCTCAAAGACCCTGCACAGAAGCAGAAGAACTCACCTCCACCAAGTGTAAGTAATCAAATGATAACCAAGGAGAATAACAGAAATGTCCATATGGAACACTCAGAGCAGAATCCTGGTTCATCAGCAGGTGACACTCCAGCAACGCACCAGGAAGTTTTAGGAGAAAACTTGATAGCTACAGCCTTCTGTCTTTCTGGCAGTGAGTCTCAGTCTGATTTGAAGGACTTGGCCAGCACGACAGGAGAGGAGGGGGACACAAGCCTCCGGGAAAGCCTCCATCCAGTCACTCGGTCTCTTAAGGCAGGGAGCCACCCAAAACAACTTGCCTCCAGGAATTGCTCTGAAGAGAAATCCCCATCAGCCTCCATCCTAAAGGAAGGTAGCAGGGACACAGGCTTGAATTTCCGACCTGTAGTGCCTCCAGCAAATGGGGTTGAAGGAATCAGAGTGGATCAGGATGATGATCAGGATAGCTCTTCCCTGAAGCTTTCTCAGAACATTGCTGTACAGGTCAAGTATCAAGTTTCTACTACTAAAATGGAATGGGGGGTGGTGAGGGTAGGAGACATTTCTTCATTTTTGGTAGAGAACTTCACTTTGTCATTTTTGCTAGCAACCTTATACTGTTTCCATATAGTGCCATGCAGTGACTTCATTCTGGTGTTCCAGAAGTGAGAAAGCAATGTCTAATCATATAGCAAACAGGAGCTTTTATGACCTCCATACAATTTCTTTGGATGCAAACTCAGTGGGCTCAGGTCTTTAGCATTCAAAATTCCCATCTTTGTCCTTGCGTGAGGAGTCCTTGTTAATTGTCTAACCCACCTCTTAAAAAGGACAGTGAATCCTGCTTGCTAGTGCCTGGTGTGCATTGTAGGAGGAGATACGGGCACAGTAGGTTTCAGGGGACAAAGTTTTTTCAGACTTGAGGCTTTTTCTTAGTCAGATGTTAGATTATTTTGTGGGATAACTGATGGATGCAGTGGAGATGTTGGTGTCTATTTGTCAGAACTGCATTGCTCTTTTTGCTGTTGCTGATTTCTAGGTGAAAAGCTAGGATAATTCTGCTTCTTTTAAAAGTGACTTGGAACAGTTGTGAATATAATTCTTTCTTTCTTTATAGACTGATTTTAAGACAGCAGATTCAGAGGTAAACACAGATCAAGATATTGAAAAGAATCTGGTAAGCACTTAAAGCATCATTATATGAAGCCATTAAAGCAGAAAATCTAGAGGCACATCATCTCTGTTGGAAAAAGTGTAGGAATCTCCTTCACAAAGTCTCTGATACATGGAAATTCACTGCCTAACCAGGCTGTCTGTTAACATTTTTTATCAGTAGTTCTTAATGTTGAGTCCTGTTTTGAGATGAGGACAGAACTTGTACAAGTTCTTGAGGTTTCTAATATAATGGAATTATTTTATTTACTAAGTCTCTGTATAGGGTCTCACTCTTAGCCCTGGTTGTCCTCAAACTTTGATTGTTCCTCTTGTGTCTGCCTCTTCAGCACTGGGATTACAGGTGTGCACCATCATGCCCATCATTTTTAGTGTTTCTTTTATTTTCTTTTTCTTTCTTTTTTTATTTCATGTGTATGAATGTTTTGCTTGCATGTATATAAGTGCACCCATATCACATAATGGCTGTGGAGGCCATAAGAAGGCATTTGAACTAGAACTGGGGTTACAACAGTTGTTAGCTTCCATGTGGGTGCTGGGAACTGAACCTAGGTCCTCTACAAGAGCAGCCAGTGCTCTTAACCACTGAACCATCTCTCTAGTCTCTTTTTATTTGGGGGGGGGGTGACCATAGTATCTTATTCTTTAGCTGAGGCTGGCCTTGAGCTCATGGCAGTCCTTCATGAATTGCTGAGATTGTAAGAATGAACTACTACACCTAACTTTTTCCTTTGTTTAAGAGAGTCTCTTGTAGCCTAGGCTAATCTTGAATTCACAAGATAGCTGAGGAGAACTTTGAACTACTGTTGCTCCTGTCTTTACCTTCCAAATGCCATGGTTTTAACTTAATGCCTATTCTTACCTCTCAGGCTTTCCCAGATGAAACAGCTCCATGCTTTTAGCAGTCTTCTTTTCTTTCTGATATTTTTCTAGTATTTCCTCTCATCCTGGTTACTTTCACCCAGACATATTCCATTTTATCAGTGTCTCTTTTAAAAGCTGATCCTAGTTTGGTATAATTTCAGCATTTGGAAGGTAGAAGCAAGAGACTCAGAGTTCAAGGCCATCGTCAACTATGTGTTGATTTTTTAAGCCAGCCTGGATTACATGAGTTCCCGTCTGAAAAAGCTGATTCTTTAAAACAAATGAAATAGTTTGGATGCATTCACAATAGAGTGAGTTAGGGTCTCTTGTCTCACATGCTAGATACTTTGTTTAGCTACCTTAACTTATTTTGGTAATCTTGTCACACTGCTAAGTTTCTAGTAACTCTATAAATTCTTTTCCATATATATTACTTACATTTTGTATCTTTTCATTTTGTCT